AATTAGAGATGGGGAAGTATGTCGTTGGATATAGGAATGGATGTCGCCGGAAAGAGTGATAGATAAAGATGAAATGAGTTGCGATTTAGGGATTTAGGTTATGAGTTGATGCTACTGCGTAGTTATATACCCAAAACATTTGTGTTGCGAAACTAAAACCTGTTGCGAAATTAAAATTCGTGTTACGAATTCGAAAATCGAGTTGCTACAACAAAATTCGCGTTTTGAATTCAGAAATCGAGTTGCGAATTTGAAATTCAGTGTTGCGAATTTGGAAATCGCAACGCGATTTACAGATTCATATTGAGATTTACAAATTCGCGTTGTGAAATTGGAGTTCGCGTTACGAATTTGTTGGTCTTTTTCGCAAATCCAAAAAAAGTTGGGTAAAATCGTATATTATAAGGTATTTTTGGTCACTGAAGTTATTTTCTCTATTTAATAACGGTGACTCTCCCTATAGAGATAGTATTGTTGATGGGTCAGCCGACCATCTTACTTCGGTCAATGACTGCTCTACAAGTAGGATTAGGATTGAGGAAATCAAAATGACCCTTAGAAAGATGGGGAGGGACAAAATTGTCGGTTCGGATCAAATTCCTATCACTGTGTGGTTGACACTAGGAGAAGAGGGAATTATGTGATTGACCAACATCTTTAATATTATTTTAGAGATTGTCAAGATGCCAGAGGAGTGGAAAGAGTCTACGATGATATCAATCTATAAGAATAAAAGGGATCCCCAATGTTGTGGTAACTACAAAGGTATTAAACTACTCAGTCATACCATAAAGCTATGGGAAAGGGTGATAGAGGCAAGGTTGAGATAGGTTACTAAGGTTTGAGAAAACCAATTTGGCTTTATGCCAGGCAGGTCTACTACGGAGGCGATTCATCTACTTCGACAGCTTATGGAGAAATATAGGGAAAAATAGAGATCTTCACATGGCGTTCATTGACCTTGAGAAGGCGTTCATTGACCTTGAGAAGGCGTATGATAGCGTACCCAGCGATACGATCTGGATACGATCTGAAAGACCTTGGAAACGAGACGGATCCCAACTGCTTATATACGGGCGATTCGTGATATGTACTGTAGATCTACTACTTACGTCAGGACTACAGTTGGCGACACCGAGACAATCCCGGTGGAAATCAAACTCCACCAGGGGTCGGCTCTTAGCCCTTACATCTTCGCCTTGATTATGAACGACATATATTGTGTGACACCAGACAATATTCCATGGTGTATGCTTTTCACTGACAACATTGTCCTAGTTGCTAAAACAAAAAATGAGTTGAATAGAAGATTGGCTACCTGGAAGACTGCTTTGGAAGAAAAAGGTCTAAGGATCAATATTGAAAAGACAGAGTATTTATTTTCAAACTTCAGTGGGAACCAAAATGATGAAGATGTAGAAGTATGCATCGAAGGACACGTTCTCCCCTCAAAGGATTGTTTCAAGTACCTAGGGTCTATGATACATAAAGATGGGGGTGTAAACAATGACGTTACACACCGTATAAAGGTAGGATGGCTAAAGTGGAGGGCTGCTACAGGAGTTTTGTGTGACAAGAAGGTTCCTCTAAAAATTAAGGGAAAATTTTATAGAATGGAAATTAGACCAGAGCTGTTGTATGGATCAGAATGTTGGGCAATCAAGAAGGATCACGTAAGGAGGACAGAGGCCGCAGAAATGAGAATGCTTCGATGGGCATGTGGTAGGACTCTGTGGGACATGACACCAAGCTATGCAATTAGGATGTCCTTGGGGGTAGTGTCTGTATCTGAAAAGTTGATGGAAGGAAGACTACGGTGGTTTGGGCATGTCCTTAGGCGACAACCGTCAGATGCGGTCAGGCGGGTAGAGTCGATTACAGTCGATGGTGCCAGAAGGAGAGGTTGACCAAGGAGGAAGTTGGTAGACTGCTTGAGATCTAATTTGAAGAATTTAGCCCTTACCGAGGACATGACCTCTGACAGGAAAGTATAGAGACTTAAGACCAGGGTAGTCGAGTAATGTGGGTCACAGTAATAGGGTGTAGCATCTCTATCTTATTTTTAATGCCTTTGTAGTAATTTCCATGACTTCTACTTTTTATACGTTTTTGTCATTGGAATTTATGAAGGCTTAGAACTAGGGTAACGGAGTAGTGTTGCCTTAGTTTAGGTTTTAACCCAATTTGACTTTATTCCTTCTCGTAACTTGGTATCTCTGACTATTGTGTATCCTTTTCTTCATGTTTCCTCTTTTTAAATTTAGCCCGGACTTACGTTTCTGTCTATATGCTGAGATTTTTACACAGAGATTTATTTGTAGGGATTAATTCCCATTACAGAAATAATATAGTCCGAATAAGGTGTTAGTGAGAGAAACTCCTCCTGTTTAAAAATTAGGGTGTTTTAGATAAGTTTTTATGTTTTATTCCTTTTCATTTCTCTTGATGGCGAGTAAGGTGAGAGTTCCTGTTAGGAAAAATTGTGTCACAGTAATCATTTTCAACATTCTTGAGAGTTTTCATTACCAAGGTCTTTGGTTATTTTTTGATAAATATGGTGAGGTGGTTGATTCTCTCATCCCTAATAAAAGAAGCAAGGGAAGAAATAGGTTTGGTTTTGTTCGTTTCACCAGACTGGAGGACGCGAGAAAGGCTATCAACTGTGTTGATAGTTCTTGGATTCAAGGTAATAAAGTTTGAGTTTTCATGGCGAGATATCATCTTCGTGATGTTTTCTGGAGAAAGAAGTTCTCTGATCCATATCCAGTCAAGGCCAAGAGTGTGGTGAAGGATGTTAGTCATACGGAGGCTCCCTTTGTTGGTTATGTTGACGAGAGTAAGCTTTCAACTATAAAAAACAGCTTGGTAGAATGGTGCATAATTTTTATTAAGTGGGTAGAGTCATCTTCGGTTGAAGAGGCAGTCGTATCCCCGTTATCCAAAGTGGGGGAGTTCGTTGGTGTCTCTCCAGTTAAGTTTCCCGAGCTGGAGGTGGCTGCTAAAGAAGCAGGAAGATCCGTGCACTCTTCGGAGGAGTAGTTGGTCGAGAGGTGTTCTGAGAAAGAAGAAATTTTTTTTTGCTATTTGGGGACTACTGCTAGAGGCAGCTTCTTGTCGGGTTAAGGTATGGAGGACAGGAACATAGGCGAGGAATTGATTATGGGTCCGAGGAGTGTCGTTGTGGGTCAGGGGATGGTTCTTTCGCAACTTGAGGAAGTGGGGGAACACGAGACATTGCTGGTGCACTCGGAGAGAGAAGCAGTGGATGTCTTTAAGGAAAGTTGCTTGCCTGCACATGGTTATGAGGGGAGTAAGGATTATTTAATTAATTTTCCCATCCTGGATGGCCATTTAGTGCCAAGGGAATTGGAAGATATGAGCCTAAAGGATAAAGAGGATTTGTTGGTTCACGTAGAGAGGGAGAAAGAAGATGCCTACAGGAAAAGTAGTGAGCCTGCATGTACTTTTGTGGGCTTGAAGGATTATTATAATGATTTCCCCATGTTTGATGGTCGAGTTGAGTCAAGGGTGGTGGAGGATGGGATTCAAGATGACCTTTCTTACAACTGCGCATACATAAATTCAAAGGGTAACACAAGGCAGTTAATGAGACCTAAGGAGGGTTTTGGCAACAAATATAGATCTGACCAATTTTTTCAAGAGAATTTTACAGCTCCCAAAAGAAAGTATAGGGGTTACTGAAGCAAGAGACATCAGAGTAAGGTGCAATGGGAGGAAGAGGTGTTTGTTTTTTATGGCAGATTCAAATATAATTATGCCTTTCCAGCATTGGGGCAGTCTCAACAAAAGGATGCGATCGATTCCTTGCATTTTGGGAAAGAATTGGGTTGTGAGTCTAATGGCTCAGTAGTGTATCTGATTTCGGAAGACTGTGGAGAGGGAAGGAGTAGAAGTTTTAGGTGATCTGCATCATGCTTATTGTTTGGAGCTGGAAGTTTGGATGGTTTTAGCCGACAAGACGAGTTAATGTGGTGGAAAGGCGGCTATGTGCGTGTTTTTTTGTATTCTTATCATGAGAAAGCTAAGTGGCTTTTGAGTTAGAAGTTGGCTTCTATGGTTTTAGTCAGCTGTTACCCTTGACTTTTATTATGGTTGTTTTGTTTTGTTTGGGCGTCTATCGGGCCACGTTTAGGCTTTGAGTTTGACCAGTCTGTTTTTTAGGCTGTTGTTGTTGCTTTGTTGGATTAGGCTGGTTCTGGTAGGATTGTTTGAGGTTGTTTTTAGTGTTTTGTTTATATTGGGGGTGGCTCCCTGGTTGTACCGTGCATTTTCTATGGTTAATGAAATCTTAAGGCAGTGTTTTCCTCCTCCCGCTGATTAAGGAGCTTCTCTATAAGCTCTTTAATCATGAAGGAGGTTTTTAACGAGGCATTAAATTCCTATCCAAAAAAAAATTCCCATTACAGACGCGCATATGTAGATTGCATATGAAGACTGTTCAACTATGTATTTATTTATTTATTTATTTATACATGCATTGTATTTTATCTTTATTTTTTAATTTTCTGACTGCCGGAGGTCTTCCACAGAAACTACTCCCAACCTGGCATTGGGGGCAGCCTACTACCCTACTTCCCCCTTATCCCATTGCATATGGGAATAGGGTTTTTTTGTTGTTATTTTTGTAATGTTGAATATACATGTAGTAAGCCAGACGGATTTTCCTTTTTCACTGTGGAGATATTAAGTGGCAGTTGGAGAACTTTTCTCTCAATGTTATGAGAAGCATTCAGTCAATTTTGCTATTTATTTCAGAAGGCTGGATATCATTTTTAATACTAGTTATGGTATATTTATCCTCCCCGTTGGAGACATCTACTTAGTTTTATATTCAAATTTACCTTCTTTCTTGGGTGTAGTTAGGGGCAGGTTGAAGTTCTATTAGGTGGGGCTAGTTCAGTGCTCTCTTCTTTGGCATCTTCATGCATCTTTTTTTTTTCTTTAATATATAATCTACTAATTTTTTTATTGGGATATATCAGGGCATTTGGTGATTTACACGCCAGTCCAGTTGTACCTCGGTTGATCCCGGCAGTTGCAATTATTGCTTTTGCTGCATGGGGCCTTGGGCCACTTATGCGGTTAGGCAGGGTTATGCTTTTCCATGTAAGCACTGAACACTATTCTACATGCTTTTGTATTCTACATCGGTGGAATTCCTTTATGATTCACTGCCTTGCTATTTTCCGCAGAGGAGCGATAACAGTTGGAATAAGAGTAGAACACATCATATTATGACCTATTATCTTCGACCTGTGTTGCTCTGTACTGGAGTGTCACTCCTCTGCAGGTGCCCCATAAAGGATTCATCTTAATCTTCATATTTTTTGCAGACGATTTGCTTGGTCTGTTGATACTGTGGTTTCTTTCAGAGCATTAGATCCAGTAGTTTTAGCCTCAGAAGCAAGGCAGGCTGTTAAGCAACGACTTCTACATTTTGTGCGATCATTATCGACTGTTCTTCCTATTTCTTATTGTTTGTCAAGGTGAGTTCAATGGACTGCCTTCAGTTGTAAGTTTTTGACGACTGGCTAATTATGTATACTTTTCTTTCCTTTACTGGTTAAACTAGATGATTTTTCTTCATTTCCCTTTTTTGGTTGGGATGGGCTATTTAGAGGAAAGTAGAGGATGCTATTGTGTGTAGTTTTTAATTTCTATGTTTTCAGGGATTGGCATGCTAATCTAAAGAGTGCATGTCTATCAAGTTTTAACATTTCATGTTAGTTGTGCATGTTATTAAGGTAACTTTTTGATTTCTTATTTATTCTGTGTTTAGCCTAAATTTAGGAGCTTGAACTATTGTGCAAGAGAAAATCATGCAATGAAGATAGCTTGATTCCCTATTTATTCTGTCTTTAGCCTAATTTTAAGAAATGTATTTACGGAGATGAATGATTCCAATGATGCAAGAAATGTATGTTTTGTCACTTTCTCATTGTTCTGCTTTCTAAAATCTTTTTGTAGCATTTGCATCAATTATCAAATTGCACTGTGGTTGTAATGGTGTATCTTAATTCTAGCGACTTAGGCCAACCTGATCAATATTTCTGCCGTCTCTACCCTACGGCAAATGATGCCCCGTCTTCGATTTATTTTTTCAGGAAACTTTTAACATTTTTCTGGATCAAATATTTTAACTTCTGAGGATTTGTGGAATAATAATTTAGATATCTTGAAGGCGCTTACAAAGATTGCAATGGGCAAACCTGAAAACAGTGTTTTGTTCTATTCACAGATGGGCTTTGACTTTGCTGGAAAAGCTGTTTATACTGCAGTATGGGTTGCTGCTGTATCATTGTTCATTGAATTGCTAGGTTTTTCCACCCAGAAGTGGGTAACTGCTGGTGGACTTGGTACAGTATTGATCACCCTTGCTGGTCGTGAGGTAAATGGGTTGCCTGTAATGCATAAAAGAAATTAATGTGCTTAATTTTTGTTGCAAAACCTTATGACTGTCCCATGTAGTAAGTAATCATAGGTACAATGCAATTAAGTACCAATAGTAGATCATTACTAGCCTGAAATTTGAAACCATCTTGTCTAAAAACTTTTATAATCCTTAGAGCCATGATTTCTCAACTCTGGCATTACCTGTTTAGTATGCAATTAGTGTGTTGATTCTTGCCCATAGAACATTCAATATCATCCTTATTGATACTTGTCAAGTTCTTAATTTCAAGTTTTCATGATCCTTTCTTGATTTTTTTTCTTTTTCTTCTGTATTTTTAATGCATTCAGATATTTACAAATTTTCTTTCAAGTGTAATGATCGATGCAACAAGGCCTTTTGTTGTCAATGAATGGATTCAAACTAATATAGACGGTTATGAAGTTTCAGGGACAGTCGAGGTTTGTGATACTTTTCTCTATTCATCTCTCTTAAGCAATCTGAGATATTAAACAATTTGGTTGCTTTTGTTGACTTTCCTGGAACAGCATGTTGGATGGTGGTCACCAACAATTATAAGAGCTGATGACCGTGAGGCAGTTCACATCCCAAACCACAAGTTCACTATGAATGTTGTGAGGAACATTAGCCAGAAGACTCATTGGCGCATCAAGAATTACTTTGCCATTAGTCATTTGGATGTTAATAAAATCAATGTAAGATTGTGATTTTTCTTGCTGTTAACTTGTCAGGACCATCATGTCTCGTTTCTAGAGCTCATGCTAGAACTTTACACTTTTCTCCATACAGAATGTAGTAGCTGACATGCGGAAGGTTTTAGCCAAAAATCCTCAAGTAGAGCAGCAAAAATTGCATAGAAGAGTATTTTTGGAAAGTATTAATCCAGAAAACCAGGCTCTTATGGTGAGATTTTTTCACCGTTGATAATTTTCCCCATAAAAATGTTAATTTAACGTTAAGTTTTTGTTTTGTTCCCCCCCCCCCCTCTGATTGCATTTTGTTGAAAATGCTACTTCACAGTTTGCTCATAGATGTTTCTGATAGGTAATTCTGGCCCTTAAAATTTCCTTGAGCTGTTTTATTATGTTCACAACAAGAGTTTCTAGACTTAATTTAGGTGCATTGGCTGCCCATCTTAGCCTATTAGTGTATTTTGTGTCTCATGCATTTATATAAATAATCTACTAACACATGCAAGTTTCAGAGTAGACTTTTGTGGCTGTTAGCTATTTCTTTAACTCCTTTTCATTTGTTCATATCGTTTCAGATAATGGTATCCTGTTTTGTGAAAACATCACGTATAGAAGAATATTTCTGTGTTAAGGTAAGTTCATTGTTGTCCGTGCTTCATGTAAATATCTGAAGATATAATAATGAAATGGCGATTTAGAATCTGTAGATGTAAAAAATAATGTTTTGCTCTCTTCAATTCTGGTTTTTAGTATATAGGAATCAGTCTGTTAATACGGTATTTTATTAATTGCCCCCTGCCACTGGTGGATACTTTTCAAAAGAACTACTAGAAGAAGCATTGACAATCTTGGCCTGGATAATAATATAAGATCCTTGGAAGATTATATGGACGCCAACCAATAGAAGTAGCACAAAACATTGGTGAATTTATGCATATTTACATTCATGACATGCACGCATACATGTGAAAAGGCTACGTTCTGGATAGTATTGCAACAAGAAGCTATACTGTTGGATCTTCTCAGAGTTATTAGCCATCATCATGCTCGGCTTGCCACCCCTATCCGTACAGTTCAGAAGATGTATGGCGAGGCTGAAATAGAAGATGTACCTTTCGCTGATACCATTTTCAGACGTTCTCGAACAACTACCAACCGTCCACTTCTCCTCATTGAACCCAGTTATAAAGTTAATGGTGATGACAAAGTCAAAGCTTCAACACGTGTAAATGAAGAAAAAAAATCCATGGAGGAAGCAACCCTCACATCTGACTTGAAGGGAAATACTAATTCGGGATCAACATTGGACTCCAAAGAAGACAGGGTTATGGCATCATCAACCAATAACCCCAGTTCAGGTTCAAAAGCCTCATTGTCCGAGGCTGAAAGTGGGAACTCGATCGAAGTGAACTCCGAAAAGCAATTTAGTGAGGGTAAGAGCGAAACTCGGAAGCCAGCAAGTTCAGGAAGTGTGGTGATCACTGATCCACGGTCTGCAAATGAAGAATCTGAAATCCCAGTGAGCGTTTCACAGGCACAGCAGGATGTCGATAAGTCGACTCCGCAGCCATTGGTGGCTAGGTCACCTTCCTTGGAAGAGAACATCGTTCTTGGTGTTGCACTGGAGGGCTCAAAACTGACACTTCCAATCGAAGAAGAAATGTCGACACTATTGGAGGAATTGGGCAATCACCAGAGTGGAAGTAGGTCTCATTCGGTCAGCCAGGAGAAGAAAGATGATGAGGTGCCAGTAGTTCATGGTAAAATTATTAGTCGATAAATCGTGCCCCGTTGCCGTTTATATAGTTTGTAATGTTCAGCTGTGTTTGTTTGAAGCTGGCGTTATTATTATTATTATTCGTTGCCTACGTCTCATCCTTTGTACATAGTTGTTGGATTCAAAATTAATGTGGTAAGTTAGAGGGATTAAGTGCTGTGGGATTCAGAACTCCTATGGTAATTTGTTATTGAAGAAACTGATGGCTGTACTGTTGGTGCATGGTTTGCTTTAAACTTTTTGTTCCGCCCAATGCTAAACTCCAACGTTAGTTATTGTCAACTCAGAATCTCTTTCAGTTTAGTTTATTTGAATCAAGTTAGCTTTAATTAATTTGAATATTATATATTTAGAAATTTTGGGTTTAGGTTATTTTTGTTGATCATTAGTAGAGTGGTTGTTTACTACTATTAATATTGTAAAAAAATGATGTAGGATTTGTGTTTTTTCTGATATGAATGGGAAGTCATAATACTTGTGGTTATGTTCATGTGGGGGATTAATTCTCTATTAGCATAATCATTCTAATTTGCCGATTTCACAATTAGGTTTATCGAACTATTTAGATTGTTAGTTTTTAGAAAATAGAAAATGTTTTAAAGAAAACATGGTTGGTTGTCGAATTAAAAAATATTTTTTGGAAAATAAAAATAAGTGAAAAATGAAAACATAAAAAAATGTTTTCATTATTTTAATTAAAATTGTTTTAGAAATTTAAAAAATAAGAAAACATGAGATCTGAATTTTGAACTTAGACGGGTTCAAATTATTTTAACAATAAGATTGACTTAATGATATTTTAAACCGTCAAATTTTTACAAAAGAAAAAAATCAATATGATCCACACTTAATATAGTCTTTGTATTGAAAATTTTTAATAAATTAATGTTGTAGTATTTTTATATTTCATGTATTAAATATCTTACTAATTATTTATATTTTATATTTCTAATTTAAATAATTTTTTTTCAAAATAAATAAGCACAAAAACTTTTTTTAAAAATCAATTGTGCATCAAACTTAGCAAAAAATATCAATTAAGTCCATTTACCACATCATTGTCCATGTGTACTACCATAATAGTATCATAAATTATCACATCAATATTGTAGATTGTTATGTATGTTTGTGAACTGTCATATAAGCGTCGTGACAATCAACGTTTTATTCCATTCTTCAAAGGGTTAGATTAATTTTTTCACTGTAAAAACATTTAGGAGCTACATTAATTATTTTTCCTAAAGTTTGAAGACCTCAATTACCATTAAACATATTATTATTTTAACAACACTTTTGTGTGCTTTGCTTATTATAATATTTTTTGTGTATTTTTAAAATTTAATTGATGTCTAATACACAATAATATTATATTTTTATTATAAACTAAAATAAATTTTGTGTTATGAAATTTCTTATCAATTTTAATTTTTATATTTTCATAATTCACTTGCTAAATTAATATAATGGAATTTTTTAATAATTATAATTTAATTTAACTTTTTAATAATTATTTATTTATTTTTGTTTTTAAAAATTAGAAACCAAATAATTTTTTACTATTTTATTTTTGGATTCATGTTTTTATTTATATTAACCAAATATATTTTCTAATTTTTAAAAAATTGAAAAAAATAATAATTTGAAAACAAAAACAAAAAATATTTTGTAGAACAAAACGTAGAAACATTATACAGTAACACAATTAAAAATTCATTGTTACACGTGTTATTGAACCTTTAACTTAACGGGGGAGGATATTTTGTTTAATATTTTATTTATCGAATTATCTTCTTTCTTAAAAGTTGTCAAAAAAGAGATTTTTGAAGATTTTAGTCCATATATGATTGTTAGTTATGATTTCATAAGTTTTAGATTCATAGGGGTTAAATTGTAAATTTAAAAAAGTTTAAGGACTAAATTAAGAAATCTTCAAAAGTTAAAATTTGTATTTAAAATTTAATTTAAATGTAACAAATAGTTAAATTTTTCATTAGTTATGGATAAAAAAAACCGTTACATGAAAAAGTATAAGAATAAAAAGATACAAAAAATTAAAAATAAAATAAAAGGGAAAAATAAGGTCATATACTTATAACGTGAAAAATAAAAAAATTATATAATCATTTCTTTTAATTGTTTTGGTTATAAGATGGTAGAAAAAGTGAAAACTATTTTAAGTTTATTATTTAATATATGAAAAATAGGAAAGAGGATAAGAAAAAAGTTGGCTAAATGATATTTAAGGTTTTCGAATAAAAAAAATCAGTGTGATTTTTATTTATTTATTTATTTTAGATCAATGTTATCTTTCAATTTAAAAAAAAATTAACGAACCCTTTGATCAATATTTCTTTTGTCTTTAACTAATATAATCGTTACTTTCGACTAACGTAACAGATCAAACTGTCCAACTCGTTTCTTTTAATGTTGACTGGACACTGTATGTGTTTAAATGAGTTGATATAGAAAATAAACGATTGAAAGTAGAAAAAATATCTAACTCACGATCTTCATCGGCTTCTCTTCATGTGAGCACCACCGTTTCATTTCCAGCCACGACGGCCGCCTCACCGACCAAGAAGCGTTGTACATCATGCAAAGTCACTGTCGACCCATCACTTGCCTTTGAAAACCCCCGCCTCAGAAATGGTTACATAGCTTTATAAGCATGGAAACAAGCTATCCTCTCCAACCCTTCCAGTCTACCCTGCGATATCGCAGGGTACTTGCTGGAGGAGCTCGGGTTACTCACTGTTTTTTCATTCTTTCACATCAACACGAATCGATTTTTTGGGACTGATTCACATAAGTTCGTATGTCTAAAGCTGCTGTTCGAGCTGGATCTTAGCAACAATAGGTTAGCCGGTAAGTTCCCTGAGGTGGTTCTTAAGTTGCATGCATTTAAGTTCTTGAATTTAAGGTTTAATGAGTTTGGAGAGAGTACCGAAAGAGCTTTTTGACAATGATTTGGATGCAATTTTTATTAACCACAACAGGTTGAAATTCAACATCCCCGACAATTTTGGTAACTCACCGGTTTCTGTTATTGCCTTGGCTAACAATAAGTTCCACGATTGTGTGTCGACGAGTCTCAGTAACATGACCAGTCTCGAAGAAATCATTACGATGAACAACGGGTTTAGATCTTGCTTGCCGGAACAAATTGGGCGGTTGAACAAATCTCAAAACTTATGGTTCGACAGAAATGGAACCTAAAAATCAACACTTTTATAAGAACCAAACAAACCCATTCCCCTTACTGGACATAAAGAACATAATAAACTGGTAAAATATAAGTCTTTTATATCAATGAATCCAAAATCATAATTTGCATCATGATCTGAGATATTGAAGTTAAAACCCCGATCTTGTCGGAGAAGATTGGGGAGATGGTGAGCCTCGAGCAGCTTAAGAGTTATGGGTCCTTCGTCGGAGAAGATTGGGAAAATTTACGTAAAATTGTTTTTTTAGTGCCCAGTCAGCATTAAATTTTGTATGATATCAATATTTTCATGTCATTAAGATGTTGCAAGAATCATGTATTGCCTCACACCTTCTTTGAAGTTCTTCTGACCTCCCCTAGAAGGGTTGTAAGGATCAAAGGACAACTTCCGTTGCGAAACCTCTTAGTAATATCATATGTTCCATTTCAATTTATCTACGAGGCCAATAATAATTTGCAAAGCTTACACTAAGCTACATTCACGCTTGTCACCATAACCCTTGAACTCTTGGAGTTTCTCAAAAGCCTCAATAGCCATCTTCTCACCGTTACCCTTCATGGAGGGAAACTTTTCCTTTACATTATATTGCTATATAGAGCCTCTTGCTTCTTCGCAACCTCTACCTTAGCTGCTTCAGTTTCCTCACGAGCCTATGGTACCTCTATTTGGGTATATGTAACCTATTTATATGCTTCCGTCACCTTTTTCTGGGTTACTACCACCAGTTTCTAGGACCAGTAGCTAAATGCTGAGCCTTTACAGTATGTCTCCAAGCTTCATCAGTTTCTTGAGCCTCACTTCGAGCTCAAGCCAACTCTCACTGTACATCTTTAAACTCGTTATCTTATGTACATTCAGAATATATTCTAACTTATTCTTTGAGACTTGAGTGTCTACTACATTATCTATATGAGCTTGACAGTCTTGGTAATAACTTCTTAATAGTTACTGTCGAAATCATATTAAAAAATGGATATAATCTTTCACCTGCCGCTATAATCTCAAAACCTCTCGATTCTTTCAAAAATCAATCGCTTTAAGAGACAATTCATAATGATATAGTAGGTAGACAACCAATCTATACCCAAAATTATCCTAAATTCTTCAAAAGGAAATTCCATCAAGTTTTCCGAAAATTCAACCCCTTGAATCTTTAACGAGCAATTTCTACAAATCTAACTTACCCTCGTACTCAGGCTTAGAGGATTAGCGTTACTATATCACTCAGGACTGGTTCTAACAAAATTCCTCTCTCAAATTACTTTAGTACTTATGTATGAATGGATAGAACCAGGATCACACAAATATAGGTTTATCGAAAAGTTCGAACGCACTTGCCATGATTTCTAGATCATCACGATATTCATCAGTCCAGATATTATACACTTTTGTTAGTGTCCGAATCTCACGCTGAGAATCAATTTCTGATGCTCCCCTCGATATGGCACTAGCTCAGCCTCTTTGTGATACAACAATAGATCTCTTAGTTTGCATTGGCCTTTCTTCCTACATCACCAGATAATATCAAATGAAATGACTAGTATCTCCACATCGAAAGGAAGCTCCCGTGAGAGTTTGGCACACTCCTTGGTGATTTTTATCGTAAACCTCAAAAGGTCGATGCTGATTTTGAAATGATATCTCTGTATCAGTAGAAAATATCGGTCACGGTTTATACTTTTCAACATTCACTCCTTTTTGGGCAGATGCCATAGATTTTGCTCTGTTTTCATAACAAGAACCTCTACTTTGCTTAGACTGAGATAAAGCTGCAGATGCACCATATATTTTGGATGATTGTATATTTTGCTTTGCTATTCTTTAATATTTTTTCTCTATTCACCACTTCTTGAAAAACATAAAAATTTAAAGTCAACATCATTTCCTTTGGACTTGGTCGGAGTCCCTCGATAAACCATT